AGCGAGCGGGCGGCCGCCGAGGGGGCGGGCGGGCGGCTCAGGGTCCAGGGAAGCACCTGGCTTTCCTACTTATTCCTATTGATCTGCTGGAGGAGTTACACTGGCCGCTGAGCTGCCAGATAAAGCTACGGGGACGCGTGCGCCTGTAAGACAGCCACACATCTCCCCTGCGTCCTCATCCGCCTCACAGAATCCTGTCGGCACTGATGGACGGGGCTCCAGAGGCTGAGGCTCCGGGTGAGAGCACAGTGCCCCTTGGGAAATGGCATTTCCACACAGGAAACTAAAAAGGAAAAAAAGCCCAAAATAACCGGCCGGCGTGGCTCCGTGGGTGAGCAGCGACCTAGGGACCAGGAGGTCACGGTCTGATTCCCGGTCAGGGCACAGGCCCGGGTTGGGGGCTCCATCCCCAGTAGGGGGTGTGCAGGAGGCAGCTGATCCATGATTCTCTCTCGTTTATGTTTCTCCCTCCCTCTCTCTCTCTCTCTCTCTCCCTCTCTCCCTCTCCCTCTCCCTTCCTCTCTGAAATCAACACAAATATATTTTTTAAAAAGAGGATTCCCGCTAACTACGCTTTGGGCAAGAAGCCTATTCCCGCGATGTGAACGCCCGGATGTGTCCCTTTCCCTGGGAGGGCCCCTCGTGACCTCGGGGGGTGGGGTCACCGGGAAGGCTGACGGGCACTCACGGCGGCCATGGTCCTCAGGAAGCCCTGCTCGATGCCCAGGCTGTGCCAGCTGACGTCGGCCACCATGTGGGACGTGACGCCGAACAGGAAGGCCACCAGCTTCTCCGTGTCCTGCTCACAAACACACCGGCCTTGAGCCTGGGCTCTTCCACGACACCCCGTGGGGCGTTTTAATAAGCGTGAACTCAAGGGGGTCAGTGGGGGGAGGGGGACATGTGTAATACTTTCAACAATAAAGATTTAATAGAAATAAAAATAAATGTGAATTCATTTCCGTTACTGACGCTTAATGGAAAATCCATGTCTAGGCCTGGCCGGTGTGGCTCAGTGGATAGCGCGTCGGCCCACGGACTGCAGGGTCCCGGGTTCGATTCTGGTCGAGGGCACGTACCTTGGTTGCAGGTTCCCCGACCCTGGTCGGGGTGTGTGCAGGAGGCAACCAATTGATGCGTCTCTCTCACATCGATGTTTCTCACTATCTCTCTTTTTCCCTTCCACTCTCTCTAAAAATCAATGGAAAAGTATTTGTGGGTGAGGATTAATAACAATAATAATATATATATTTTTTTAATGGTTATTTGTCATATGTAAACACTTTTTGGTGAAGTCCCTCTATTTTTTTTTTTTTTGCCAATTTTCTAATGTTTTTTAACTGTAGAGTTTTGAGAGTTCTTTATATGTGGTTGGCAAATACAATTTTTCACTCTGTAATTTGGCTTTACATCTTTTTAACAAGAATATTCATAGGACAAAATTTTGATGAAGTCCAAAACTTCTACTTTTTAGTTGGTTGCTAAGAATTGGGAAACAGCGCTCTGGGCCTCACAATCTCTACAGAAAATAGTAGTAAAATATAACAAGGTAAAGACAATATGGAATTATACTAAGAAGTAAATATTAATCATTGAAATGTACCTTAGAAGTTTAAAATAGATAAAATAGCTAAAGTTAAGCAAATATTAGAATTTAATCTCATAATATATGGTAAATGAATGATATATTGGTAGAAATGTCAATAACATAGTATTTTAATAGTTAAAATCACTTAGTAGGACAAGAAGGATGCCCCCTCCCGGGGGGGCGCCCTCACCTCTCTGGCAGATGCCCGGGTAGAAGGCGTCGGGAAACACGGCCCCGGCCTGGTACGCGTCCCGGTGCTCGAGCAGCAGCTGGGGGCGAAGCAGAGGTCAGGGCAAGGTCCGCAGATGGAGGCGGGACCGGGTGGAGGGAAAATGAAATTCACGTGGAGCCAGCGCGACTCCCCAGCCTGCAGAGCCCGGCTCTCTCCTGCGGACACAGCCTCACTGAGCCCATCCCTCTGTCCCCACGGAGCGGGCTTGCCCCCGGCTCCCCCGGGACGGGTGTGCGAGGTGCTCAGGCCGCAGTGACAGTCAGTGACGGAGACCAGCACAGAGTCGGCCTGGCTCTCCCTCCGCCTTCGAGGCCTGTGCTGCAGAGGGAGGCTGGGCTGTGGGCTGCGGGAGGGTTAACGACACCTGCTTCCCTTTAAAAAAAAAAAGTACTTTTTATTGACTTCAGAGAGGACGGGAGAGGGAGAGAGAGATAGAAACATTAATGATGAGAGAGAATCCTGGACCGGCTGCCTCCTGCACGCCCCACACTGGGGACCGAGCCTGCAGCCCGGGCCTGTGCCCTGACCGGGAATCGAACCCTGACCTCCTGGTTCACAGGTTGATGCTCAACCACTGAGCCACTCTGGGCAAATGGAAATTTAGGACTAAAAATGCAACCATGGCAACAAAAATGATTACCCCAAATGGTGCACATCAGCCCGTGTGCCTGCCGATACGATGCAATGAGAAGAATCTAGCATCGCTTCACTCTGTTACCATGTTTCTGCCAAAAAACACCCGCAGCAGAATCTAATGATAGGGAACCAGCAGGCAAAGCTGGAAGTTACTGGACTGCCCTTTTCCAAAGAGTCAAGGTCGCTAACGACGAGGGAGGGTCTGTCCCCGGCTGGAGGGGGTCGCTGGGAACCCACACCTGAGCACAGACGTGGCCCGGGTCCTGGAACCCCGGCGGGAGCCCCGAGGCCCCGGAGGAGCCGGACGGAGGCCGGGGGCGCGGGCAGCAGTGTTACTTCAGCGTCGATTTCCTGAACGAGAGGATCACGCTGTGGTCACAGGGCAATGGCCTCGTTTCCGGGAATCACACCACGAAGAGCGAAAGGGCAATCAGGACCGCGTCAGGGAAAAATCAATGTGCAGAGGGAGGACGAAAAGGCAACCGCGTACGTTGCCAACAGCTGGGGACGCCGGGTAAAGGGCACCCGAGAGTTACTTGTCATTCCAACGGCTACGGGTTTTACAACTTTTCAAAATGAAGAGTAAAACGAGGAACTGGTTGGACACATGATGGTGCACTTCGGGGAACAGGAAAGCACGTAACTGTTAAAACGTACTCTGAAGCTCTCCGGTGACAGGGAAAGATACCTGCCACGTTAAATGCAAAGAGCACGTTATAAAATAATGTGGAGACTGTCGTCATTTTGGGGGGAAAAGTACTAATAAATGCAGGAAAACGCCTGGAGACATAAAGCAAAATGTCAGCGTTGTCATCTGAGGGATCCTTTGCTGCAGGGAGTTACCACTTTCACAATCGGGAGATGAAACCTGTTCCGGGCGGGCGGGCGGGGCCAGGGAACCAGCTCGGCTCCTGGTCAACACGCCACATTCCATTTCCTCCGCAGAAGGAGCGACCACGACGGCCACGATGGAGGCACAGTGGTCCTCACAGTCTCGCCAGCGGGTGCCCGGTTCCTCCGCTTTAGGCATTGCCCCCGATTCATTTGGTCGGCGCCAGTCTTTAAGGAGCAGGCGCCTCCGGATGTTTCACCAAAAGACAACCCAGAGCCAACCCAATGCAGACCTGGGACACGCAGGCTGGCCGAGCTGTTGCGGTCAGCCCGTGGGGATCTGCACATGTGCCAGCCAGCCAGCCCCCCTGCCCACGCCCTCTGCAGCCTCACACCAATTGGACCAGTGAGCCGCATTCCACCCTCCCCCGAGAGCAGGCTGTGCGGGGAGGAGAATCTGCAAGGGTCCCACACATGCAGATAAAAAAATAAATCAGCCCCCCGTGTCTGGAAGGGATCGGAGGGTGTCATTATAAAAGGCCTCTGTGAGTTAAAAGGGAGGGGCGAGCACTCGGGCACTCAGGGATTTCCAGTGACATGTCTGCGTGCGTTAGCACCAGTGCCGGGGGAATGTGCCTTTTAGCCCAAAACATTACTAATGGTTCATAAAGATATGGAAAGGCTCTGAAAGTTACTGGTTAAGTCTGCAAGGACCTCTGGCACCTGGAATCAGAGAAAAATCAGACCATACCTGTCTATAGTTGACGCTTCCCTCCTGAAGGTGGAGAAACTCGAGAGCTCTGTGTCCTGAGAAAGAGACACACATCGATCAAGTTCAACCACATGCTGAAAACAGACGCCCCAGACGCATTTTAAAAGGAAAATATAACCCGTGGCTCAGTTGGTGAACGTCGACCTATGAACCAGGAGGTCACAGTTGGATTCCCAGCCAGGGCACATGCCTGGGTTGTGGGCTTGATCCCCAGTCGGGGCTGTGCAGGAGGCAGCCGATCCATGATTCTCTCTCATCATTGATGTTTCTCTCTCTCTCTCCCTTCCTCTCTAAAATCAATAAAAACATATATTTAAAAAGAAACGGAAAACATAATTTTACTAGAGGCCCAGTGCACAGATTCGTGCACTGGTGGGGTCCCTTGGCCTGGCCTGAACCCTCTTGCAATCTGGGACCCCTCGGGGGATGTCGGACTGCCGGTTTCAGCCCAATTCCCACAGGCCAGGCCGAGGGACCCCACCGGTGCACGAATCCATGCACCAGGCCTCTAGTGTGCATATAAGATCTTTGGTTAATCTCTTCCCGCCCTCCCCCTTTCCCCCTTCCCTCTAAGATTCATCAGTCTATTCCATGTCTCCATGCCTGTGCGTTGAGCGTCTGCCCCCTGGTGGTCATTGCGCATCATAGCTACCAGTCGAATGGTCAGACGGTCGCTTAGGCTTTTATATATATAGATGGTTGTAACTGTGAAGGTAGTGGGCAGTGAAAATGAAGTTTGTTCTCACTGGTCATTTTCATCAGCCATAGTTAGAGCCATGCACTGTTTATGGAATATAAGTTCATATAAATTCCAGGACAGTACTACGAGTCTGCATGATGATTTACATTTCCTGCTTCACCAGCTCCCCTCCCCGGGCTGAGTTAACCGCTGAGGCCTCAGCCCCTCCTGTGTGAAAGTAATACCCACCTGCAAGTCCACTGAGAGAACTAGAGGAAACCAATGCTGTGACGAGCATGGCTGGCACCTGGCGGGAGCTCAGCAGACAGAAGTCAGCCCGTCCTAGAACCTACCATCGCCACACCCCCGAGCATAAGCCACGTGGGAGGGGCGATGCCGGCCCCACGGGGCTGAGCCGGAGCCCAGGTGTGTCCTTATCTCGGGACGACTTTACTCGGACAACCAGTCTCAGAGGCCACCTGCACCACCCACACGCCCGTGGGGGACACCACACCCGACCTCCTTAGAGTCAACATTCCTCCGAAGAGACGCTCGAGGGTGATTCATGCCTCATTTCTATTGCGAATCACCTCGTTTTTCTTTTTTGTTGTTGTTAACCCTCACCTGAGGATATTTTTCCATTGATTTTTAGAGGGAGTAGAAGAGAGAGGGAGAGACAGAGAGAAACATCGATGTGAGAGAAACACATCGATGGGTTGCCTCCTGAACGAGCCACAACCAGGGCCCAGGCTGGGGAGGAGCCTACAACTGAGGTATGTGCCCTTGACTGGAATCGAACCCGGGACCCTTTGGTCTGCAGGTTGACGCTCTATCCACTGAGCCAAACTGGCTAGGGCCACATCCAATTTTTAAATTCATACAAGAAAACAGCCACTGCTGTAGACATCGGTGCCGTAAGAGACTCGGTCGGGCACGGCCCACACAGGCAGCCGGGACCAGGACTCTGCGATTTACGGACTCAAACCCCTGGATGAGGCGGACTCTGGGGCACTGACTCACTCCCATGTCCGCCCTCCACACAGCCCCTCTGTGAGGCGAGGGAAGTGAGCCACCATCTTCATGAAACCTTCCAACCTAGTTGCTAAGTGAGGCTACAATTTCCTCTCATGTAAAACATCTTCACAGGCTAGGAGCTGCCTTCAGTTACGTCCACGTGAACATGTTTATACATATTTAATCTATCGCACGTTGTTAACGTGTATTCCCCTGTGGGCACCTTTGCTTGGCACCTGCTCGAGAAAGGCAAGCCAGGATCTGATTTTGTTGGCATTTTGGATTCATCCATCTTGTTAATTGCTGAGCTCTGAGGATTAAAAACGTGAAAACTCCCATTGATGTTGGTCCCTCTTCAGCGCACTTCTATAGTTTGAGCAATTTCACTTTCCTAGAACTGTACAATTCATTAAGGAGGCCAACTCCCTCCTGCTTTAACATAAAAATATATTTAGTTGATTTCAGAGAGGAAGGGAGAGGGAGAGAGAGAAACGTCAACAATGAGAGAGTCACTGACTGGCTGCCTCCTGCATTCCCCCTTACTGGGGATTGAGCCTTCAACCCGGGCATGTTTACTGACTGGGAATCGAACCCGTGACCTCCTGGTTCGTAGGTCGATGTTCAACCACTGAGCCACACTGGCCGGGCTTGAAGCCGACCCCTTAAAGCCACCTGACCCAGGGACCCGCTCCCGTGGCCACACATGTACCTTCCATGGACTTGCCCTTGGGAAGCATTCCTCACACCCCGCATTGCACCCCTGCCCTCCCTCCCGGAGCCTCTGTCCCCCCAGTGCCTCACTCTCCCCCACAGAAGCTCCAAGACCCCCTAGCTTCCTAGCTCTCCTCCAAGCCCACCGACAGCCCCCAAGCCTGGAGGCCTCGGCCCTGGCCTCTCGGCTCCCGGTGGGCGGCCAGCACAGCAGGACACAGTCCTCCACACAGGGACGGGCTGCCCGCCTCTCCACCTCCCTGACACACTTGGCGTCCTTTGCACCACGACCCGCCCTGCCGGCACTCACCTATTTCTATGTGGGTCGAAATGCCGCACGGTGAGCCTCCGGGGCACAGGGCGCCCAGCGCGAGGAGCAGGCAGCACCAGACCCTGCAGGCAGACAGGCCCCGTGGCTCAGGGCTCC